CAAGCTTATACTGTTTGGCAAAATTATAAGAATTCTCTCTCTCTCTCTCTTTTAAAATTCTGAAGAGTTAATTTACCAAAAAAAATACATACTTTAGATAATAACAAAAGTATTAATTACTTGTGACCTTTAGAGGTACTCATTTATGCGTTAAAATATACTAATTTTAGTTATTTTTAATCGGGCGAGTAAGTTAAGAAAATAAAAAATTTGGAATAATTAATTTAAAAGAGAAGAAACATTTTGACAGTTATAATGGCACACCATTTTACTGAAAGACAATTTTACAAACTTATACTGTTTGGCAAAATTATAAGAATTCTCTCTCTTTCTCTTTTAAAATTCTGAAGAGTTAATTTACCAAAAAAAATACATACTTTAGATAATAACAAAAGTATTAATTACTTGTGACCTTCAGAGGTACTCATTTATGCGTTAAAATATACTAATTTTAGTTATTTTTCTGTATACTTATCTAACATGAAATGAATTGTTTAAATAGCGGTTTAAATTTGCTACATCTTTCAAACATTTATAATTTTATATATAGTCTGTTATATTATAATGTGTAATATCTAATATGTATAGTCATTTATTATTTTGCGTTAATGGATTATTTTAGAACTTATAACTTTCAAAAAATTAAAAACATTTTTTTACTTAAAAACAGAAATGTCATTAGGTAGTAAACTTAGTTTCTCCAGTCTTTTTACTTAAAAAACTCATTTATCTCGATATCAAAAGCAAACAATACGTCAATCAAAGTATTTGCCTTCGCTAGCTATACATTTTTCCCATTTTTCGGACAATAAGTGTATTCCGCGACGATAGAATGATTGGTCTTTTGAAGCAATCCATTCGTCGATCCATTTTTTTGCACATCCCCGTAATTTCTGAAGTGTGTATCCACCAAGCCGTGCTGCATCGATCGGAAGTAATAGTCTGAAGGAGCTAAATCTGGTGAATACGCTAGGTGCGGGAGAACTTCCCACAGTGGGAATCCCATTCGAGCTGCATCAGTGTTTCCTTAACGATTTTTGCAACATGTGGTCGAGCGTTGTCATGCAAAAGCATAACTTTGCGTCGATTGCTAGCTTTCTTCCAACAATGCTTCATTCAAACGGTTCATTTGTAATTGATATTGATTCCCCATGATACTTTCGTTCGATTTGAGTAGCTTGAGTAAATGTAACGACGCCTTGCATATCTCACCAAATGCAGAGCATTGCTTTGTGACCATAGATATTTCGCTTTGGTGTAGGTGGTGATGGTTAACTGGGGTCCATCCATGATCTTTTGCGTTAGGGATTGTCAAAATATATCCACTTTTCTCATCGCCAGTCTCAATGTGCCACAAAAAACTTTTTTTTCTGTCTGGCGAGCAGAGAAATAGAGAGGTTTAAGCAATTCGCAATGGCATTTTCGGTTAAGTCGTGTGGTACTCATTTTCCTTCTTTTTGAATCTTTCCCATTGCATGTAGACGTTTGGAAACAGCCATCGGAGTAACGTTTAACGCTGCAAACAATTGTTGGAGCGTTTGAGCTGAGTTTTCGTCCAATAATATTTGCAATTCGGCGTCTTCAAACTTTTTCGATTGACCCGAGCGTTATTTATCATTCACATCATAATCACCACTTTTAAATCGCTGAAACTATTCTCGACATGTTCTTTAATTCCGATGCAGCATAATTGCCATAAGTTTCGATAAGCAATTTATGAGCTGCAACTGCAGTTTTTTTCAAATCAAAATAATAAAGCAACACATATCGAAAAAACAATTTATCACGTTTCATGTTTAATAAAAAAAAATAGTACTGTTAGTTTGAATCTTTTCTCACTAAATTTTGTTGACAACAAAATTCAGAAATGACAGAGAGAACAAAAGAATCATTTAAATATCGTCTTCAAAAATGTATTGAAGTCCAAGTTATCATTTTGAGTATCGCCTTAAATAAATTTTTTGTCAAATTAAAGTATAAAATATCTCTTAAACCGTTGGTTTTTTGGTATCTCTATCTTAATACTTTTATATGCAAAATAATTAGAGGAATCATGTTATCTAAAAAAAATTACATAATTCCATTTAAAAAAGTGGAGATGACTTTCACATCTTTTTAGCGCCTCCACTTAGAAAAAAAATAATGTGACTAAAACGTGTCCCCCTCGACATCGTTTCATTTTCATTTGAAACATTTTTTCATATTATCAAAAATAAACGAAATATTCAAGATGATCGATTTAAGTGGACCACCCTGTGTATATAAGTATATATATATATATGTACTAAATATCGATGAGAATAAATCATTTACGGTCAAGTTGGATCTTGGATGCTTCTAATATAATTTTTGTGTGAATTTATATACTACATTAATATTATAGATCCCTAGATGCGCGCCGAATTTTTTTTTAGACTTACAACGCAAACTAATAAACTAGTCTGAAAAAAAATTTCGTCGCGCATCTGTGGATCTACATATGTAGTATATAAATTCACACTGACTAAAATTATATTAAAAGCATCTAAGATCCAGCTTGACTGTAAATGACTTATTCTCATCGGTATTTAGTTTAAAACTTTCACGATCTAAATAAGATTTGATATTATTTGTTATAATCAATGTGCATAAATCTAAAAGTGAATATTTGAAACACTTTTCCATTTTATCTTGAAACATAAAAAGGAAGGTTTATTTTATAACATAAACATTTGACGTACGCGTACTAGATAGGATAATTAATGATATAAGATGCAGAAACCTGTTTTGATACGAAGTAATCAAATTGTAAACATGTTTTTATTGAAATCATGTTATTAGAGGTGTACATGCAGTATATGATTTTACTGGCATTGATATTATTGGCAAACTAACTTACAATTGAAACCTACATTTTAGGAAACAGTAGTTTTCGTTAGACTGCTAATTTTTTTAGTAAAATTTTTAGGTCTAATATATAATAACACTTATAGGGCTAAAAGGTGTGACAAAAATTCAAACATATTTACGTCAATTTTCAACAAAAATTTTGGAAAAAGTTAGATTAGCAGATAGAGGGTATACTATAATTTATGAAACTAATTCTTTTGTTTGTATCAAGATACTAAAAATGGCGAAATTATACATACACTGACTCACAAAAACATGTTTCACGTGAATTGCTATATTTTCTCGATGGATTAATATACTACATTATACATGAATACAATTTGCAACGCAACAAGTTAAATATGTAAAGTATAAAAAAAAAACGGTTTAAATCGAGTGGTAATTAAAAGATACCTTATTTATATTAAATTTCTAATTTACAATATTAATAAGAAACAACATAAAAATAAAAAGATTACAAAATATATAAAAATATCAAAATAATATCGAATGTTTCGGAACTCACAGGTTTTTGTGTGAATGTGGAAATTGTGTAATAAAATGTATGAAAACAGGAGAATCAATTTCTTCAAACAAATTATACTACACCATATGTTGCTTCGACCGTAAGATTATGCATTTCTGTGCCATATTGTAACATATATAAGAATCGCTTTGAGAAGAAGACCTGTGAGTTGCGAAACGTTCAATATTACTTTAACATTTATATATATCTTTTATTTTTTATTTTTATATTATTTCTTATTAATATTGTAAACTAGAAATTTATTAGAAAAAAATCTTATTACTACTCGATTTAGACCGTTTTTTCTTTATACCTTGCATTGCAAAAAACGAGCAAAATTAAAGATATTTCTCACTCCTTTTGACTCTTTAAAATTAGATTCCGTTCCAAATATTTTAGAGAATAGCTTAAGTAATAACGAAAATTAATAACTCATAATGAATCACGTAAAAACGAAAGATATTTTCAAATATTTGAATAAATGATAAAATATTATCAAGTAATATATAATATTTGAAAAAAAGAAGATTAATATAAGATGAAATAGGAATAATAATAATTATTGCAAAATAGGTGCCGTGGCAAAAGAATATTAAAAAGAAGAAAAAACAAAGAAAATTTATTTACAATCCAGTACGTTTATAATATAAATATGGTAAACGTGATAACAGACTTTAATGCTTCGTTTTTATTTTTACGTGGCTCAGATAGTGGCCTTTGGCACTATATTTAACGTGTAATACATGATTACGTGTTACACATTACATAAAGTGATGGATATATACAATATGCATTGAATGTAGGACAGAAATGAAGGCAACCATCAATGAGAAGTCCATATCGCCTAATATCATATACATAGTAAGTGTGTTTTATATTATAAATTCCTAAGAATTGAATGTTTTATATAGTATACGTCATTATTTATTCAAGAAAAAATAAAGAGTCCACTTTATATTATTTGCTGTTAGATAAATAGCAAATAACATAAAGTAGACTATTTTTTCTTCAAAAGAATGATTGCATGTAGAATTAGTATAGTCATCTGAATTATATAAAGAATTAGTACAGCTGATAAAGAATTGAATATGATAATAGTAGTCGTTATAAAATGACTACAGTCTTTATTTCATTAAAAAATATAAATACATATCCATTCAATTCATCAATATATTGATTTTTATTTTATAAAATAAAAATATAAAATAAATTTATAAAATTTACATTTATTAATAATAATAATGTTTGTATTTATTATATAAATAAAAATATAAATCTCTCTTGACAGTTGGCAACTTCTTCCAATTTTTTCTTCATTGTAAGATTTTTGTTAAAAGAGAAAATGTTCATTTAGAAAGGTATTTCTAGAGAAATATTACTAATAGGAAACACAACTTTCCTGCACTGTACTCCATTTTGATATATTAATCTTCATGTTTTTTATTCACTTGCACTTAAAGTGCAATAAAAATTTTTTATTTACATTTCTTTACATATTGAATTTTAAACGTTACTATACATTTTTTAAATGTAACATTTTCTTTTTATGAAAATTGAAAAAGCATCGAAACGTTAAATGTAAAAACTACATTGGATTAATACTTACTGAGATGCTAATTGCAATAGAAGATGCGCTTTCACTGAAAAGAACATTGTTCTTCAAATTTTTAAGATCCTTTTTAATAATTTTTTTTATTTCTTCCAGATTTCTTGAATAGGTATATATATATCTCAGACAATTTAATACTTTCTTCAATAACACTATTGAATTCAAATACGTATTGAAAGGTGTATGCTACTAGCTGCTTCGATCCTAGCTATACGAATGCAATAGTTGTTTCTAGAAGGCTTTTTTTCTAGATACATCGATCATGTGATCGATAGTATGATAACAGAAAGAAACAGTCTTGTTCGTAGACAACTATTATAGTCTGAACGTTTATTGAAGTGGAGGGGACAGACTTGCACCTTTTAAAATATACTTGAAGTCAGTGAATAATAACTAAGGTCTGGACGTTCGGGCTCAGTGACGGGCTGCGCGCTGAGAACCGCTGGCGCGCACCGCGGTGGACTAAATGTAAACAAAGTGCGCAGTTCTTTCAACAAGCGTCTCACTCGCGTGCAGCGGTTCTCCGCGCGGAGCCCGTGACCGAGCCCGAACATCCGGATCCTATAATAATAAGGGTGAAATCACACGATACGGGAATCAGCATGCAGGACAGAGGATGCGTGATTCAAACAGCCAATCAGCACTCTTCCGCATTTTTTCCATCCCGTACGTCTTTCGTACCCTGTGGACACAGTGCGTGAAAGACCCGAAAATGACGTGTTGAAGTCACAGTATATATTTTTTTATCGACGACACGTGTTTTATTGACAATAAAAGTCTTGTTACAAATCTTACACTGCGTCTTTGGAGTACAACTTAATATTTCTTATGAATGAACCGGCATAGACTTTTTTCTTCCAACATTATTAAAAAGTTTTTAATTGCGTTATACTATGTATATTGCAGTGAGTTGCGTGGTTCTTTCCAAAAATCGGGAGTACAATACTTCATGATACTTAGAAGGAACCATTTGACCTGCTTAAATCTAAATTAGAATAAGATGTGGAAGTGATGAACATTCTTGTTTTTAAAATATCAACGAGACAGAGTAAAAATACACACTGAAAAAAATATAATTTAATATATAATATACGTGTATATATAAAAAGATGAGCCGCTCAGATTCCTCACGTAATATATCAGTTGCCGTAATCGCAGCGTCGAATTGCTTAAATTGATTTCGTTGCATAATGTAACAAATTAGCATTGCTTTCTCATTTCCTGATGAAATAACAATAATTGTTTCCATAAGACAAGTAGGCCTTCCATTCAGCCATCGCATTGTCTCACTCGATCGATGTGTGACTCCTCGTATTGCAGTCGTGTATGCACACTTACACGTATACACGATGTAAATAAAACCTGTATCTTTTGTCGCTGATCTCACGACATCGCATCGGTGCGGTGCGAAAAGCTGCTCGGCACTGTTGCAATATGATCCTGTCACCGCATTCGCTTCGCATAAGCGCAAGAGCACATGATAGACAAAGGGTGCTTTACAGCAACGTACATAGATGCTGTATAACACAGTTCGCTGTATAACATATTTCGTGCTTTCCACCTGTGACACAAGTCGACACTGCGTATTATTGTGTCACACAATTTATATGACTATTTCATTGCTGGGAAACTTCTAAAGGGAGCACACAAATAGGCGCTTTTTATTTAGTGGTACAAGTCGATACAAACATCGTTTTATACTTCATGAATAATTAAACAAAACGACATTTGTGTCACTAAAGTACCTAACGTTACACGGTGAATCATTTAATTTTTTATTAATATCTGCAGGAAACAACAAGAATGTAATGATTTACTGTATTACATTGTATCTCAGTAGGTCTGCAGGACAGCAGCTAAAGTGTCAACCGACACAACTTTGTGTTGTTTATAAAAAATCCTTGGCAATATATGTATACTGCGCACATGGTATAACGCACTCAGCAACACAGAATATTTATAATAAATGTTCATAAATATTAATTTTCATTTTTTGAAACATTATATAAATATTTTCTACATATATATTTATAATATAAGCTTTATTTGAAAACGTCATTAAAATATAGACTAAATGGTTTTTATATTATAATATTAATGATAAACATAGATAAGTATTTTTAGTAAACATTTTTTATTTAAATTATTGTATCTTATATTAATGTTTTTATAACATTTACTATTATATATATGATAAATATTTCATAACTTTTATAACAAGTATCTATGTTCTGTGTAATCTAAGACCACAAAATATTAAAAATAAATTTTACAAATATCTTATAAATATTCTATAAATATTGTGTGCTGACTGGGCAATTGTAATTGTTTTTCATAAATAACACGACAATCAGATGATCCTTTCTCTACCATATGCGCTTGCCCTAATTCTGGAAAAACTTCACAGAATCAATCACAGTTAGCGAATCATTTTCCTTTTTGCGACATGCTCTAACAGACTCTCGTTGAAGCGGATAAACAAATATAAAATGATCGCTCGCAATAAGACACTCGAGCTTACGTTGCACGGGCTCATCATGATTTCAGGATGCGCGATTCTTGACCCCGAACAACATTAGCTCGAGGAAATGGTAATTATACGAGTAAAGAATCTAACAAGATAAATAGGAACAAACCTTAGGGGAGAAGCAAGTATATCATTAATTAAAAATAAGAAAAAAAGAAACAAAAAAGACAAATAAAGTAACGCGGCTCGTATAAATATGAATCATTTGTAGCGTCGTCTATTAAACTCTCAGTATCGCTTGATACCTCCGCGACGAATATGGTACCGAAGCTTAACGATATAGAAACTCTCGCAAGATATATATATATATATGTATATTAAAAGTATAAAAAAAAACCGTAACAGACTAGCGAGTGTGATCTTTTAACACGTCCTTTAATCCTTTCGAGACAATGTTCAAACTACCATATGTCGCTACAATCTTCGCATCCACTACGCTTTGAAACTAATAGAGATCGCTAATCGCACTTCACGGAAAATCTTTTATCTTAAGAAAACCGTAAAAAAGGAGTATGCGCAAAAATACTAATCTTTTAAGAACGCGAAGTCTCGAAAAGATTAAAGTTCTCCTCGTAAGACCTCAATATATATTCTTGATACTCAATGCGAATATTTGGAGGACCTTCGCCTCTCAACGTTTTCCGGTCTCTCCATAGAAAGAATGATTTTGCTGAAGTATTTAAAAATTTAGCTGTACATACAAATCTGAAAATAATTTTGTTGGACCGTCAAATAATTATGTAGAACGCTCAAGCATATAATAAGCAAAAAGTTTTAAGTTAACATTCAAGCAATACCAGCTTAGACATAATTCCATATGTAGAATTACATTCTACATATAATTATTTTGATAATCTAACAAATTATTTTCAATATCTAACTAATTTGTATTTAACTAAATTTTTACTTTATATTTTAGCAAAACCGTTTCCGTGTCGGACTCTTGAACTATTTGAGACCGTTATTGTCGACTTGAACTGGTTACTCTTCCGTCTCAGACTTTTTACCAGTTGTTCCCTTTGCGTTCATGCCCTTCGTCTTCCGCTTGGGTGGAACTGGAGCGTCAACGCCGACAGCGCCGGTTAGTGTTGGCGGCGGCGGGGTTTCTGGTATGCTTGTGTCGGCTTCCAGGGTCTTTGCGCCAGTCTTCTTCGTTGTCTTCACGGTTTTCTTCGTCTTGTTCTGCGAGCCGTCCGTGGCAACGCTCTCCGTCGCGGTTGAGGGTGCCGCCTCTTCGGGCTTTGCCTTCGGTTTCTTCGTCACCTTCTTCACAGTCTTCTTCGCCGCCTTCTTGTCCGCGCCCTCCCCGTCGGCGCCGTCCGTTGAATCGGACTTCTTCAGGCTCTTCTTCGCGGCCTCCTCCATCTCCTGCGCACTTTCCACGGACGGACTGATCGGCGGTGAGGCTTCAGTCACCGTTGGCGTCGATGGAACATTTGATGGTTTCGCTTCAATGGGTTCTTCTGCCAGTGGACTTTGCTCAGCAATTGGTGATGCCAAAACTTCACTCGGCGATCTCGTTGCTGCTTCCGTTACTTCTGTTTGTTCAATTGATAATTTTGTTACTTCAGCTTGTGCGACTGTTTTCGCTTGTTTCACGATCGCTTCCGTTGTCTCAGCTTTCGCAGCTGTCTCAGCAGACTTCTCTTCTACAGCTTCTGTCTTTGTAATCAGCTCCGAAAGTTTTACTTCGGCCGTTTCCAGCTTCTGTTCTGGAAGTTTCACCTCTGTCATTTCTATTTTCGCAACCTGTTCCGTTAATTCTTCCACAGATAATGCTTCTAAGGGTTCTACACTACTACTGATTAATATCTTTTCTTCAGTAGCCGGTGATGTCTCTGATAGTATATCTCTAGTCGTAACTACATCGCTTGCTGGTTCTTTGGTAGCTTCAGAAAGAACACCAGTCTCTTCTAATAGACTGAAAATGTCGCCGGATCTCTCAATTTCACAAGCTGATCCGTTCAACTGAACAGGCTCTGTCGGGGTCGATGCAGAAGCGATATCCTGGGATTCATGTACAGCCATGACCATCGAGGCAATCGCTTGATCACTCACAGTTATAGCTGCGCCCAACACAGATTCCTTAGGTTCAGCCTGGAGAACCGATTCCGCCACCTGAATAGGCACAGGATTTACAGTGGAAATCTCAGAAGCCGCTAACAGCATCTCCGCATGCTGCTCGCCCGGATCTATCGTGAGAGGTTGTGTTACGTCAGGCATGGATTCGATTACACATTTTGCAGTGTCTTCTACTGACGCTTGGCTTGCTATAGGAGAAGTTGCTGCAATCTGCGGACTGTCTACGCTAGTCAGAGCTACAGGCTGCGTGGCATCTTGATCGGTAAAAGCTGGGGTTTCTGGTTTGGCCTCAGTAGATGCTGACTCGATGCTAATTTGCGTAACTGGCATAATTGTTTCTTGCACAGGCACTTTGCAAATCAAAGGGGATATTTGCAAATCAATTTGTTGCTTCGGTTCTTTTGCTTCGAGAAGAAGGCTTGCGTTTTGAGGCGCCGCTTCTTGCTTCGTTTGCGGGCTTGAGAACTCACATAGTTCCGCAGTTGTTCTTGCAAGCAACGGCGGAAGTTCTGCCGGCGACTGCAGCGGAGGCACTTCAGGACAGACTTCGCACAATTTTACATCCTTTGGTTCCGTTGTCGGTTTCACACAAACGTCTTCGGATTGTACTGGATCGCTGGATATTTTTGCGGTAGCTTCCATTTTTTCGGAAGATAATGCAGGAGCTTTCTGTTGGGGGACTGCTGCCGAAAGTTCCTCCTCTTTAGGAACTTCGCATATTAGAGATTGCGTTGGATCCTTGTCGGCTTCAACTGGATGAAGAAAGAATAAAAGTGACAGATATATATGTAAATACGGTTAAATAGAAAAAACTATTCTAACAAAAAATTAAGAGAAGAAATCGTGCAAAATTCTATACGCGCGGTGAATAGAAACCGCTTTCATTTTAATAATTTAAATAGAAGTAAAATTATTGATTAATATCAAAAGATCACGTATTTGCAAATGTTATATTTCGTGATTTTAGGCAAAATAGGCGATGATTGATGGCAGTGAGAAAATCCGATTCCATTTCAACATATTGAAATATGTCACGAGTATGAACAAGTAAACCATGAATAAACAGTAATATAATACGTTTTTTAAGCATTTTGGTAGACCAAATGTATCTATGTGTCAACTATAAATAATGCTCATGTGCTCTCGTTTTGTTAACATAAAGCATATAAAGCGTAGTGGATATAACTTAATATTGCGCAAATATGATGCATTTTGTTTGGAAAATGAATGAAAGCCGATTTATATATAGTAGCGGATTAAAGAAGCAATATTCCGCAAAATATTTAATTAGTAAAGAATTACGTTTTATAAAGGCGTGTTATTCATACAAAAGCAAAGTAACATTTTTTAAATTATTCGTATTGAATTGTATCTCACACATTTTGTTCGTATTACACATTTTATTTTGTATGTATATACATTAATGGTTATACAGGATGCCCCGAAATTCGCAAATTAGCAAAGAAGTTCTCGAAAAATAAGTTATAAAAATATTACCATTATAAAATAAGTTGTAAACATTATTTGCCATTTGTCGTTATGTATAATTTTTAAGACATAAAGATTAAAAACTGGATAATTATAGATTCCTTTTAAATGACCATGAGTCGTGCGTTGATAGTGTTATCGATATGTAACAGCCGAAAAGATGGCCGTTTAATTTTAATCTTTATATCTCAAAAATTGTTCAAAATGACAAGTTACAAATATTTTTATAACTTATTTTTTCGAGAACTTTCTTATTGTGGTTTCCAAATTTCGGGATACTCTATATACATATCTTTAAAAGTATGTTGAAGGTTGAAGGTATATAAAATACACTGATTTAAGGATAATAAGAATCCTTTTTAAACAAGCTAGAAGAATTTTTAATATGTAAACTAAAAAAACATGATTTTAGACTATATTATTTTACATAATTTAATCATCTGAAGTATAGAATAAAAAAATATAAAGTGATAATGTCAGATGTTTTGTGTGTGAGTACATAAAATATTTACCCCATTAAAGCAAAACGACAATACAAGACGCAGCAATGCTATGGCGCCAGGATCTGTTAGTTGCTGTCCTCTGTTCCTGTTTCACAAACACTCAAACTAGATAAATTGCATTAACAAGAGTATATCGTTTAGTACTTTTCGCTCGAAATATCGTAACAAATTCAAATTTAACATAAGCATTTTGATTCTTAATTATTTCTTCGCTTAACATTTTTAATTTAATTGAAACTATGAAATTGATTATCGCATGCTGTATTAAATGGAACAAAAAACAAACAAAAACGCAAAGCATACTCGAGGAAAACAGTTAATGGCTTTGCATCGTGAGCACATTAAATTGTTTTAAAAATACATCTCTCGCATATTTCTTTTATTATTTTTATGATTGGCATACAGTGCTCGTTGAGTCAAATATTATGTCGTGATTTCAGCTTGTACGTGCATGAAATATTTTAATTTATGATATATGTTACCTCCTACTTTGGATAAATATACTTCAAATATTTACGAGTTCTTATTATGAATTCATTTATGACAACGCGATTTCATGTGTAATAGCGAGACGTACCAGCTGGTTTATTCACTTTGGCATCTATAGGTGTATCAGCAGTCTCTTTTGCAACAGTCTCTCTGACAGCAGTCTCTTTTACAGCAGCCTCCAAAGTAGCGGTATTCTACAAATATTCATCGTGATATGAATTATTCATTATCAAAATAGTATTTATCGTTGCTTATTCAACTTTTTTTAGATGTAACTATTTAGTAGATCAAAATGTAAATCTCGCTATTTTAATTATTACAATTCTAACATAAGCTACGGTAATTTCTAAACTTACTCCTTTTTATTTATTGTTTCTAAATTTGTTCTTTAAAATAAATATATTACTCGATATTAAATTACCTCTGTAGGTGAAATTGTCTCCTGTTGCGGCGCGAGGGAGAGCGTTTCGCAAATCTTCTTCCATATATTATCAAAACTATCGCGACCCATGTAATCGATCTGTCCTTGTTCCCAGCTTTGCTTTCTCATATGCTCCTCAAAAGCTACTTGTTCGGCGCTTCTCGCTTCGCCCAATGTTAGTTGAGCCAGGGCACCGGCGATACCAGTCTAGCAATTAATAAGAATATTCTTTCATTTCACAGTTTACAATATCAAAGATTAATGTAAAATGACAGCATGAGTTACGATAAATACACGAGCGTTTCAAGCAATTTTATTTCGTCTGCATTCCTCAAGACAAATCACGTAAATGTACAATACAAAGCTGGTGCTACTTACATGGAGAACACTTTCAAATAGGATATACGTGTCAAATATAATGAAATACATGAATTAGTACACATCAAATGTAATACATGAGTTAGTACACATAAAGATAAATTGACAAATTATTACGTTTTCCAGAAAATAAAAGGAATTATATATATTCACAATCGACTAAGGAATGAAAATTTGTATGCACAACAAATAAAATGATTTTAAATGATATATGAATATTCCCAATAAAAGTGCAAGTAATGTCCCAAGCATTATAAAAATAAATGAACACGGATGACACAATGCGCCATGTAATCGTTAAAAAATCTTTACAAAAGTATAATTATTATTATTATTATATAATGCATTCATGATTCTTTTTTCTTTATAGTCAAATGAAGCAGATATATTCTCAGAAATATGTACGGAAGCGTACAGTGATAATATATTCGACTCGAATTTTAGAAAAAAAAGGATATGGGAACAATTACTTACATTTGCATTGTCTAGATGTTCCGTTACATTCGGGTCAGATCGCGTGGCTACATTGTGGAGATCTGTACAAGGTTCAGGAGAGGGAGGAAGGAAATCGATTCTCCGTGTGTCTATCTGCTTATTCGCAGCTTCCGACGCCTGCTCGCTATTCTTTTCGCTGCATCGACTGCAATGAGATGCAAAGTTGTCCTGAGCATTTTGATTAGTAGTATACTGCGCATGAGACTCATTATGAGAAGCAGCATGACTCAGATAATCCGCGTTTTGATGACTATTATCACTAGAGTAGTGTTGCGCGTGATTCTCGTGCCCCACTTCAGCTGATTGATTCTGATGATGATCATCCGCTTTATTTCTGTGATAATCATATTGATGAAACTGTTGGTGATGTTCGCTATGTTGTATCTGTTCGTTGTAATGCTGCTGCTCATTATACCTATGCTCGTGATGTTGATGTTGCACATAATGATGTTTCTGTTCAGTCCATTGTTCATGTTGATGCTGTTCATCGTGACGTCTATGTTCACTGTGTTGCTGCCAGTGATGATGTTCAGTGTGCACAGAATGCTCTTGATTACGATTTTCTTCAAAACGAGAGGTTGCATGTTCTTGACGTTGATCATACGTTTGAATAGGCGTATAAGATGAATGCTGTTGCTCGTAGTGAAATTGCTGATTATGTGCGAGTTGGAATGCACTATGGTCACTTTGACGAACAGCATCCGCCTCTTTAACTCCGCAGTAACAATTTTCGCTCTTATCATTCAGTGCGCTATCGTCAGTCGGAAACAGATCGTTCCGCAAAGAGTACACTTCCCAGGGATCTTTAAATTCCGAAAAATCCGGCTCTCGAGAGTTGTTGCTATTTATTGTGTCGGAGTAATCGAAGATATCGGGTAAAGAGGGTACATAGGACGGGGGAGAAAATGCGTGCCAAATTGGAGCCAATGTGCTGGTGGCCTATGCAAGCATCATGCCAAAACAGAAAAATGCACACTCGATTGGTTAGTACTGAACTAAATGCCTGGCAGTGTCCATTTTTCTTACAGCGTTATGTTTTCCATTATACATTGACATTTACACGGTAGCAATAATGTAAAATGTTATTCCACCGTAAATAAAATAAAGTTTGTGGTATATCAATACCCAAGCAAAAACAATATACGTTTAAAAAAGTTTAGCCGAAACGTTTTTATGCTATATAAAATGTTAGATAGACGTTATTAAATATTTATTTTAATGTTTATTAAACGTATTTTAAATAAAAACGTTTAACAGATGTTACAAATGTCTCATAAATATTTTTATAACGTTCACTAAATAGTTTTTAAAATGTATCAAATTTTAAGCGTTTATTTTTCAGTTTATGCGTTTATTACATAATTTATAACGTTTATTAAACGTATTTTAAATATAACTATGTTGCTTGAGTAGCTTTAAAGTGCCACACAAATAACATTCATGCTCAACCCATTCATTACAAATATTACGAATAATGCAATTAAACGCTATTATGTATAGCGACCGAATTAAATTTTTACATGAATTGTAAGTATATGAGTTAAGAGAGAACAGAAATCAAAGAAAAAAAATAGACACTGGTTTAATACTAGAAAATTCCATCATATTAATAGCCGCATTATTCGTTTGATAAATTTTTATAAGATAAAAAGTGCATACATAATTCTCATTGAGTACTAAAATTATATTCAAAAAATTATACTACGCACAAATACAAAAGTACATAAAATTATGTTAAAATGCAGCTATTAATATGTACTATACAAAATATACAAAGAAAAGACAAATAAAAAATATACCTTGAACCCTATAATGTAAAATTAAAATATGATATTAAGGAATTCTTTCTAGAGACTGTTGGGTTCAAAATATACTTAAAATGTCAAGAAATTTACACACTTTATATCATATAAAGATGTAGTAAAAAACACTGATTATATTTTCAAATGCTACTTTTCTGCAAGCTTTCATACAGCATTAAAGAAATATCATTAAAAAAGCAATCCGAAAAATCTCAAATTTATATAACTGTATTTACAAGAAGACTGTAAATGTAATTTGATGCAACTTTGATATTCATTAATAATTAATAAAAATTCTAAAAAATTTGTGAAGATGGAAACTCTCAAAATTGCATCATAATTTTTATCAAATGTACGACATAATAAGAGTAAATCCTAATTCTTTCATATAATAATACTAAAATACAGAACAATCTAGAAAAACTATAAGTATAATAGAGATATAAGAATATCTTACCCTCGTATTATTTATAATTGCATATAATTGTTCACTGCTTTGCTTGTAAAATAAATGCATAAATATAAGAAAAAATTGCAGAAATATTAATTTTTGCAGCCAAATGCATAAATGACTAAAATTGTGTTATTTACATATTATTAATATGGACAAGAAAGATCTCTCTTTATAATAGAAATATAAAATTTAGTAGAAAAATAGCTATGCGCTTTGAGTGTCAGTTTAGAACTATCGCTCATCATTTTAGCACATTAAATGCATACTGCATTAAAATATTATAATTAAACTTACCATGGAAGACGATAGTTGGGGATGCACTTGCTCGCAGAATATATTCCACCATAGTTGCAACAACGGTTGCAAATGTGATGATCCCGGTGGTGGTTGGACGGTGCCGGTCAGGGTATCGAAATACTGTAACCACGGTTTCGTTATGCCAATAAAGTGAATTATCCTCACGTCGTCACCAAATCTAGGATGTAAATGAGAATTAGAAAACAGAGGAGGATTTTTAATTGTAGTCGAGCCGAAAGAGCGCAAGCGCTTACTGTTTAAATGCGGGGAGATAAGAGTATGTCGCGGTAGAACACATGTTGTAGATGAACGGTAGATGCTTGGAGATATCCTTGGAAGCCCAGTCGCTAAAGTACATGTTCAATAATCCTTGATCACCGCCGTCAAACGAACCCTTAGCAGCGGCGAATGCGGTGATTGATGCAAACGTTTGTTGAGATGGTCTGAATACAAATACTCCGGAATTAAAGCAGTCAGGCCAGCCGACATCGGGCGCAGCCGATAGTTCTTCTCGCTCGAATAACTCATCGCAATTTCGTACGACCTAAAAACATTAAAGAGACCTACAGTTATGTGTTAATTTCTCTTCTAACAGATTTAAGTCTAACTTGTCTTTTATACTTATATTTTATGTTCTTGTTATTAGATAAATTCACTGTTTAATGGTAACATAACAAAGAATGAAATAGTGGAATTGACAACTTAAATCTAATTCTTGCTTCAGCTTCAATTTGAATGTAAAAATATCATAAAATAAAAAAAAATATGTATTAAGTATTTTATAAATTGAACAAAATTTCGCACTACTCACAAGCGTGTCTGCATCGACGAATACACACTTCTCGTATTGAGTTAGCCTCCAACAGTGTAATTTGGTAAAAGTAATGCCTAATTCTGGTCTAGCCAATAAGGCTAGATTCGCCTCATCCTTCGAATCAAGAACATTGACTTCCTGCACCAAGGAGAATACTGCCGCTAATTTTTCCCTAACGCAAACAAGACGCTAATTACACGTTGCAATTAGAATCTGCAGACCAATGTCATTATATGAGCAAAATATTTTATAAATCGCAGAACGTCGATTGCTGTTATTAATATTTTAAGCTATAATAAAATATTAACAAGTTCTTTGATTATAAGAGAAATTAATCTATACCTAACAAGATATTGATATGCTTTAACATTGAAAAGTTTGAAGGAACAACACGTTATTGTTAATTTACCATACTATGCGCGATTCTGACCTTACAATACTAACACATGTTTACATGTATATATATGAATTTTATTAAATAAACCATTAAATAAATAGATAAAAACTAATTTCTCTAATCAAACTTAAACAATTCTTATAAAATCGATATAAATAATTTTTATGAAAAAAAATTTAATTCTTTATTGTAATAACAAGCAAATGTTGAATAAGTACAAATTCTACAAATATGAGAAGTTTCAATTTCCACGACACGACTTGGCATGCAACTAATCTGCGTGTTGCTCTTCGGTAATTGCTATATTGAACTTGGAGAACGACGATACCTCATGGTCGCCGTAACTCCGGGAGTAACGAGACAGGCCAATTCGTGCTTAGTGCCGACTCGGCGTAAGGAATGCGCCAGAACCAGGGCTCCCAGAGAATAGGCATCGTTCGTAGCCAGTGTAACCCATGCATATCCTGAAAGATAAAGAAAGATCCGATAAAACGCTTGACGGGGCATTCGCTTCTATTAGAGCCACCCGAGCCAAATCTATTTTAGACTTGGTGACTACGGCAAAGCTAACGTTTAAATCTACATCGCTGCATCCAGTAAATGTGTCCAGAACACGCGCACAGTAGGATATGGGATAGTGTTATTCAAGGCCATCTTGAGAAAACTTTATTTAAATATTTCAGCAAAACGTTCTTTCCGTGTCAATGCAGATATTTGTTTACAAATTGTTTTTGTAAATTAAAAAAAATTGTTTTTGCAAATATATCTGCCTTTGGCTGGAATTCGAATTTAAACAATTTGCATTTCTTCTTTAATTTCTTGCATCTGAATTGCAAAAACTCTCGTTCGATTAATTTCAAAATATTGTACTTCAATTTTTGTTTTCGTTTTTTTCTATTTTCTATTCGTATTTCGTAAAAGTCTGTAAAGCGCACAGTCCAAAAATGATAAATAGAAAATCCAGCTTAGGAATGTGTTTTAACAGCAGAATCATATACAAAAACATACTAATGAGCTATCGTTTCTGGTAAAAAGCTGTTTACAATAGGAATAATGGATTAAACATGATTGATCGATTTTTTTGGAATTTATAAAGTTACAATTTATTACACCATATATAGCATAATAAATTTTAACTTTATAAATTGCAAAAAAATTGATCAATCAAGTTGAATGTGAGAAGATAATCGACTATAATTGATCAATTTCTTACAACTTATGGCTTAATTACTACACAATATTACTCCTATTGTATAGAGAGAGAGAAAGAGACCATAAAAGTCTCAAAATACTAAATGTTAAAATGTTTACAAGATAAATGGCACGTATTTTGTATGTAAATACGTTGTTTTTATAGTGTCCTTCGATTCAATTTCAGACAACACGAAGAATGCGCAAAGCCAATTGCGATTTCGCGCATCGATAAGCGATGGGTAAGATAATTTCACAGTTAACATTGATTTTCAAATTAATCTACGATCTTACGTAAAATTAAAGATAAGCGGTAAAATTATGCCAACGAACTTCGCTAAGTTCAAATGTTATCGTACAATGTGCGGTACGCATTTTACAGACGTGCACTTCTACAGTCATGGATACCTCAAATTCATGAAAAAAAAACTACATATATTATATTGCTATGTACAAAAAAGTTGTAAAATAATTTGAGGAATGCCTATTGTTTTCATAATAATAATAAGAATTCCTTATATTACAATTTAAATAGCAAAATAGGAAAAAGCATATAGGAATCAAGCACAAAAATTATTGCGTACGTTAATAAATAAAGAATAGCGAAAGTTTAATGAAAATAAAAATTATATTATGTATACATATTTCGACCGATTTGAAGATAACTGATGTAATTATATTTCACAATCTGAATATGATTCAAAATATGATGATGATGATGATTCAAAATAAGGTGAACTGAGAGAGAGAGAGAAAATATGTAATTTTTTTATCTTCATTAAATTTTTGCTACTTTATATTATTATATTTATTTAAAAAAACAAAATAATCACAAGGCTCATATAAATAAATCCAAAAGAAACGATAAAATGCCAATGTGTGCCGACACGAGTTGTCAGTGTGTATTTTTATATATAAAATTTTATTCAAAAATGAACAATAAGAATGTAAACATTTCGACCCTTGGGTCCTCTTCAGTACAACATAAAATAAATTAAATATAAAAGTCAAACATGTAAAAATAAAGTACAAAATGTCATGGTGGTAATGTCCAAATTAAATGTCAAATCTTGTCATTAAATTGATAGATTTACTAAAAAGTTAAAATATATTTTCATAATTTTTAAAGGAAAATGCGAAGAATATTACTACGTCGACCCGCCATCAGAGGTCTATCGATATTCGCAAATTCTCGCAAGTGCTGAGACACGCGTATATCTCTTTATATAGAATCTCGATTTAATAACTTACACCGGCGTCTAAGGTAGGCTTCCACTACAATACCTTACTGATGAGTCCAGTAGTGGAAGCCGGGACGAAACGCCAAACATTAAGTGATATTCTTCGCAATATAGAATATTAGAATATATTATCAGATTTAGATTGACTCTTATTCGCCATTCTCAACGTATTAATTATTGTTTAAAGGAAAAGTTTTTGGATAAAAATATAATTAATTAACTTATATAAATTGTGTCAAGATTAGACTGTTATCATTGTCGTATTCGTATTAGCTCCATTACACTGCTCAGTTTACTGTGTAGGCACAATTATAAATAAATTAATATGCAAGAATTTTTTAAAACATTTACCTTTCATACGTATGACTTATAAGGGCATAAACAAACTCAATAAATTCATAAAGGTCCAGAAGGATATATTATCTCAATCTTCCCAATCTGGTGTAGTATATAAGATTGATTGTAAGAACTGTGATGCGTCTTACGTTGAACAAACGAGTAGATGTTTAGAAACGCGCATAAAAGAACACAAAAATTATATCAATAGAAATACGACCTAACATTCTGTTATTACACAACATCGTATTGACTCATCTCATGAATTTGATTGGGATGGTGTACATATTCTAGACAAAGAACAGATTTTAAATAAAAGATATCCGAGATAATACATATTAAAAAACAAAAACTATGCCTGAATTTACAAAATGACACACGCACTTAATTCTTTATATACGGATCTATTTTCTAAGGCCTGATTGCACCAACGTGATTTCGATTTTAAGCGAAACTTAAACTGTCTCTGTCTCAAGTTCACTTACAAGGAAATTTAAAAGAAAGTTGTTAATAGTTGTTAACCAAGACATTAACTGTTTGGCAGACAAATGTGAAATGAAATACAGAGAAACTGTCAGAACATGTACATACATCAATGACTATAGTCACCTTATAAATTTATTGCTTGTCTTTATTATTTACTATTTATATATATA